AAGTTAATACGAGATCTCATCAAGTTCTTGACAGAAGATACCAATTGGAGGCTGAACTATTTTTTCACGAAGGCTACTTGACTCGTTCATCTTCCAAACTCGGGGTCATTATTGAGAATAGGCAGGGTTTGAAAACCTTTTGTTGGTGCTGTGATTTTTTGCTTAGTTTTTAATGAAAATTTTTTCTGGTTCAAAAAACTTTCCTGTAAAAATCAAGCTAAACAGAATCAAAGAGTCAATTTCATCGCCCGTTCTTCTGAAACTCGTTTTACCACGTCGACATCATCAGTTTTCCGCAAGCTCCAATCTGAAGCTGATTAAGCACCTTCACGAAGTCTCGCCAGATTGAAGTTGCCTGCGGGTCAGATCAATTTTCAGCTTTTGATTAAAAAAATTCTTTATTCAGCGCTAACCATGTATTCTTTGGTTTTGCAGTAGTTTTACGCCAGACGTTCATATTATAGAAGGTTTTCAATAAGGTTTTCAAGGTTTAGAAGGTTTTCAATGAGGCTGCTCGCCGAATCTAAATTCTTCGGCTTATTGACTGCATGTTTGCAACTTGACTGACAAAAAGGCTCTTTTTTCCAAGCTCTTCGTTCGATATTCTTCTCGTATGCAGATATTCGTTTCCTATAAAAAACAATTAGCCAAGACAATGCCTTTTGAGGTTTCAAATTATCCAAGCAAAATTTACCGTTCATTTCAATTCAGGCTAAAAAAAACAAGAAAAGTCATAAGGGTTTATCATCGGACATTTTCACAAACTCAATTTTTGCAATTTTTTTGCCCAATCGGTTTTAAAAATGGAATCGGTTTTAGAATTGTTAACAGTAATTACACAAAATAAGAGAATCAACCGTCGGCCAGATATTTTGATACTTACATTAAATAAATTTGATAATAGAAAGGGTCTTTATACTTGCGAAAGCAAGTGTCTTGTAATTGGGAACCAGACTTTATCCCGTGAACAAATTTTCTTACAAATGTTCAATTTGCTTTAGTATTGAATGTTAACAACTTCAGATTCCTTTGCACTTGGCTTAGCGGTAATGCCGTGGTGTGTGCACCTTAATACCGGCCGGATCTTGTTTTGTTTTCAGTACCCAGGCAATTGAAAAAAAATGTTTCCGATTAAAATGATTTGCCGGTCTTTGTTTATCTGCTCATGTTTTGTATCAAAAAAGTATCAAGGAAAATTATCTTTTTACTTTGCCTCACTGTCTCAAGTCTTCGAAATTGTTTGTGGGGGAGGAACCATTTTTTGATTTTTTTGATTCTCTCAGAAACTTTGCTTCCAAATCTGAGAATTTAATTTAAATGGATAGAACGGATTTGAGAAGTCCCCTGCATAAGCGGCTACGCTCAAATTGTTTATTGCATAAAGTTATGGCCCCCGGATTATTTATTTTTTTTATAATTCTTTTCAAAAATTAACCTCCCAAGCCTGATATTATGGGTTCAATAAAAAAACTCGTACTGAGAAGCTCTCCTGCATCAGCGGTTACTCAAAACATTTTTACATAAAAATGTTTGCCTTCGAGATGTCCAAATTTTTGATTTTTTGACCGTTTTTTTTAACTTCTTGAGTTTTTTTGAAAACTATTTTTCCATATCTGAGATTTTAAATTCAATCCAAAACAAGAGTTGCAAAAAGTTTTTTCGCATATGAGGCTACTTCCAATTTTTTTGACATAAAAAATTAAGACCCTCGGGAAAATCAAAAATTTAGTTTTTTGACGGAGTTTTGAAAATTTTTGACTTTTATCGAAAACTACTCTTCCAAATCTGATTTTTGGATTCAATTAAAATTTTAGGTTGCGTGAATCTCTTCTGCATAAGGAGCTAGACCCAAAAGTTTCAAGAATCTATAGTTCTGTTAAATGTTAAATTTTTCATTTGTTGATTGTTTTTTGGATTTTTCTTAATAGCTATCTTGCCAAGTCTGTTATCATAGATTTAAACAAAACAGCAGGTTGTTGAAAAGCTACATTTATCATTACACACCCCATTGGAGAAAAAAAGTTATGACCATCAAATAAGTTTTGAAGTTTTGCCCGTTTTTTGGAAAATTTTTGGCTTTGCTTAAAAACTACCCAATTTTCAGATTAATTGTTCCACGAGAAACTATTTTTGCAGAAAACAGTTTTGGATTTGGGAAAATCAAATTTTGACCGTTTTACGGAAATTTTTGAATTTATTTGCAAAGTATCCCATAAAATCTGAGATTAAAAAGTCAATCAAAAAGACCGATTGCGAAAAACTCTTCTGCAGAGGCGGCAAATCTTTAATTTTTGTATGAAAATTGTTATGTAATTGGGAAAAAATTTGGAGCAAAGTTCTATTTTTGAAATTATGCATTTCATCCCACGATACTAACAAATTGAAAAATTTTAAATACTTATCTCCAGCTTTAGCTGGGCTCTTCGTCGTTTTTTTTATCAAAACATACAAAAATTTTGGTCCAGCTAGTTTTTTCAACACTTTTCAACTTTTAGGAACGATGTTTTTAAATATTTGTGTTGTATCGCAAGTGGTGCGAAGCTCCGCTTTGCCTCTGTGTTATATATAAAATAATTTCATATTAGTTAATTTCTAATCTTATAGATAATTTTTTTTTAGTTTTTAGTTCAAACTTTTTTCTGAGATATTTAATTTACACGAATTCTCCTGTCATGGCAACTACTTTCTAAGGAGATAATTTTCAGTTTCTGTTAAATTTTGCTGACATCATTTAAAAAGTAGCCATAGAGTGAAAGGAAAACTTTGAAAATTTCAGTCATTGCCAGCCATGTGATGAACAAGGATAGACAATTATTGTACAAGTTTCAATGGAAATTTTGATCAATTTGACTTATGAAAGAAATTTAAAAAGAATCCATAACTAAAACCCAAAAAGAAATCCTTAAAATAAAACATTTTAGGCAAGATGAATATTTTTTGGTCAAAATTTCCTGTTATTATTTTAATAGAAAATGTGATTGATGAAATGAAAAAGCAAGAAGACCCATTAAGTATAAATCAAACGTTAAGTTCTAGCGTTCAAACTCTAGTGGAAGTTAAGTCGGTAGGTCAGCCTCTTTCAGCAAACTTTGTCTGATTTAATTTAAAAATTGAACATAATCAGACCAGTTTTCCTTGATACTGAGATGCCTTTTTAAATTTATTTAGGAATCCAAACCAAGACCGATATAGTTTAAATATGATACCCAAACAATATGTTGTAATTTGAAATTAAATAGCTGAATCGCTTTTTGTTACACTTCGCACTGTATTTATAACTGATTTCAAAAGCCAAATTTTTTGACAAAAAAGTAAAAAATTTGAGTACTGTGCTACAAAAACTATCTTAGCACCATGTAAAAATTATTGAAAATGAAATGACCATATAATGCATTGTAGTTCTCAATTTTGATACAGCACTATAACTAAGATTACCACCTATGAGATTTAATCTTTCTAGAACTTTGTTGGGCTCTGTAAGAGTCTTCTTGTGATATATATTTCTCATCAATTAACAGAGCAGTTTCAGCGTAATCTTTGATTAATTGAAAAAAAACAAAATGACCCGGGTCAAAATTTTGGTTGAGAACTTCGGAGAAAACATTGTCCCATATTAATTCTGATGAAATTTTAAGCAACTTTTGTTCTCTTCTTCTTTTGTCTAATCTTAAGTCAAATTGAGAAAAACGCGTTTGAAAACTAAAGTTTTCTTCATTTTGTCCGGATAATTTAAATCAGCACTGTAACATATCACCGATACCCACTACGAGTTTTCTTTGAGTTAGTCAAAAATGGCTGATAAAAATTTGAAAAAACTACCCTAATCGATAGTTGCTTTCCATTCTTCGAGATTGGTCAAAGCAAGAAATGTTGAATCATAATATATGTATATCACGAAGTTCTCATCATTGCTACTAATCAAAAAAAAAATTCGAGCTGTTTTTTGTGAATGGCTTTCTTACACTTGATCAGTACAATTTATGATAGATGAAACAAAAACAGCACTGTGTATTATTCAGTCATGGATGCATTCAACAAAACTTTAAAATAATTATTTTTGTGAGTTGAATGCATTTATCTTAAGGCTATTATGCTTTCATCAGCTGAGTCGAAATAAAGTTTTGAAGCGCGTGTTACTTTTTCTCTAATCATTGAACCAGTTAATTGTTTTGGTTAGAAAATTGACTGATACTTCCGGAATCTCGATTTCAAAAAATAAGCTCATCATTCAGTTATTAAAAGATTATTCAGCGGCAAATAATTTATTTTTTGATCAGGGGCGGGGATTTTGTCGGCTGTTTTTTAGTTTGACCACATCGAGGTTTCACCTTTTGAATCTAACAAAATGAACCCAAACTACTGATAAAGAACATACTTTCCCCACTCGCATGCCATTTAAACTAACAGATCTTGGCGCCCAATGCGCCATGGAGAAAAGTTTTAACTCTTTGAGTCCCCGGGGAGTCAAAACAGTGAGATGGAAGAGCCCCCTCCCCCCCCCCCAACTAAATATCCTACCCTAATTTGGCCTTTCAATCAAACATCCTTTTTTCAATATTATCTTAGGATATATAGCGAAACAGGTATTTTAGGGTGAGGACGTTTTAGAAAAAATTTGAAAATAATCTGTCAATTGGGAAATATCAAAATTTGGTGAGACGTTTGAAACTTATCTGGCATGGGTCAAGCAAACACAAAGTCTTTTTTTTTTCGGTCGAGAAAGCCGAAACAAACCTGAATTTGGTCGAGACGGTCAAAACATAGAGTGAGCACCTCTTCGCGGTCACTTTTCTATAGTCGATCATTTCGATTTTGTTCGCAAATGAGGTAAATAGGAAGATTTATTTAAGTTAAAAACAGGAAAAAAGAGAGAAAAAATGCTGCACGTGTAAATTGCATGACACCCACCTCTCTAAATGTGCCCCTGATCAATTAATTGGAGAAACACGAATAGTAAAAAGCGACATGGGAAGATTCGACGATAATGAGTCTGTGTTCAGGGGCATCACAACAGTCAGTTTTCTCCTAGTTGTCTTCATCTTTTTACAGTCTGCGATCATCGCCATCGCCCACCTGCACGAGACACAATTACAGAGGTATGAACACGTTCATAGAAACTCATTAAAAACAACCTCTCCTAACTAAACTAATTATAAGTGGAAGATGCGGTAGGTGAATTAACAGGAGCGAAATTTGGCTTCCACTTTGCTCAGGCCTTTGGTGGAAATATTTACTAAAGGTGTCAGGAGAGCCCCTCCGAAAAACAAACAAGGTTTTGGCCAATACCTTCCAAAAAGTATACAATTGGTATATTCAATCTCATTTAAAGAATGATGAAACTGCCTGTAATCTGCGCTTCTGGTATATTTTTGGCAGAATACCTTTTTACGACGAATATCCATATTGTTTTTTCGAGAAAAAAAAATTATTGAATGTTTTAGTGAAAAAAAAACTCCGAAAAAAAACAAAGTTTTGGCCAATACCTTCCAAAAAGTATACAATTGGTATATTCAATCTCATTTAAAGAATGATGAAACTGCCTGTAAAAAAACAAGGTTTTGGCCAATACCTTCCAAAAAGTATACAATTGGTATATTCAATCTCATTTAAAGAATGATGAAACTGCCTGTAATCTGCGCTTCTGGTATATTTTTGGCAGAATACCTTTTTACGACCAATATCCATATTGTTTTTTCGAGAAAAAAAAATTAGTGAATGTTTTAGTGAATTGGAGGAGTTACTACAAATTGGTAAGCTACTGTTATAAATACTTTGAATTACAATTTTTTTTTCATGGCAAATAACTGATTGGTTTTCAGTAGCAGCAAATCAAGAAAGCTACCAACTTTGGACCTATTACAACTATCGGCCGTCGTCTTCTGGATAACAACAATACCGAAGTTAAACTTACCTGCGAATCTCTAACTAATATCAGTTGTATACAAGTATCCTAATTGATCAAGTTCTCCAAAGTTACCGCTCAAAACTAATCAATGAAATTGAACAATGATGAAAAAAAATTGTTTCAAACTAAATTGAGTTCTAAGACTTTTTTAACAAAACACAAGTGAAAAGGTTTAATGAAGAAAACGGATCAACGCTTTTTGGTTAAAAATTTTTTTCAGGTTAAAAAATCTGATCATTTTTCTTGGAATTGTAGTCCAAGGTGGCACCCAAAACTTTTTATGTTAGGTTAAGTTATTTGCTCATAAATATTACAAAAAAATGTTATCTCGCTAAGAAAGCCAACAAGGGTATCAAAAATCGTCGTCGATCTGCTCTTTGTTTGAAATGATAGTTACAAAAACACATGAAATGAAATGAATGAACAGATAGCTATAAAAAAATTTGAAGTGTTTAAGTAATTAGATATTTTAAATACCCTAATCTGAGAGGAATTCTACTTCTTTGCCCAACCTTTCATACTCTTTTTACACTGCTGGCAAGAGTCTGCGAGTAGGTTGATGGTAACTCGCTCGTAGTGAGAAGTACTAGCAGCCCAAGATACTGACTCAGTGGATCTACTTCGTTTTGTTGTGCCCGTAACTTACAATAATTCTTAGACTGTGTTTTGTCGAAAAAATAAAAGGCTTTCAGGCTATTTTCTTTGAAGTAAGAAAACAGTTCGGTTAATTGATACAGATTTCCACTAAAATATCTGTGTTTTTTTTGCAGAAATCAAACAAAAATACCCTTTTGAAAAAGAAATGAACTCAACTTAAAACACACAACAGATTAAATTGTTATTCCTTACCTAGTAGACATCTTAATTTGATGTAACTAATCAAAACTCATATGATCGAAAAAGTTTGAAAACAACCAATGAAGTACAGAAATTCATACAAAAATGAAAAGATCTTCAAATAAGTTTACTTTCTGATAATCGAGTTCAAGTTGTTGTGAAAGTATAACGAAAATCGAACTTGTGTAAATTTTTGTGTAATTGTTTTTAAGTACTGCATTTTTATGAAACATCGATTAACCGAAACATTTTGTATAGCTATCATTTTTAAAAGTTTTCTAGTTCGTTGTTGTCGGCCAATCTTTCCAAAAGTGCAGCGTTCCTAATGAAATAAACTCATTGTTTCTGGAGGCCTAGTCGATTATCTTCCAGCTAAACTTCGGCTTACGACTGTCACAATTATTTTACCTTATATGTTTTCCAACAGAGGTATCCTCTTTTCGGTGTTGCTCAAACCTTGTAGTAACATGTGGGACCGTTTGGCCGACATATTTATGTTTGCGACATTTGTATGCGTTTTTTGATTTCAATTTAATGGAAAAGGAGGTCTTTAAGGTGAGGAAACAATTTTCCAATTTCCGTATGGTGAAAATTATCTGCGCATTGATGATATTGCGCACTTATTTTGCTAATGTCTGACATTGATTCCCCCGATAATTCACCATCAATGGGTAGTGAATTGCTACATTAATCACAAAGCTTCTCTTTCTCAGCTATCGTATTTTTGTTTTGCCCTTCCCGTTGATCTTTGCAACCCGCGATGACCATCATCCTGGATATTGGCTGTCTAACCACTGCTCTGGTTTGATTTTAATGGTTTTATCAAAATTTCCCCTCGTGGACGCACTGCGGAAAGAACGATGATCAGATTCTTCACTCATACTTTTCTTGTAATCAAGGGGAGAACAATTTCTAAAAAAAATTATGGTTCCTGTGTCTCTTGGTTTCTGATATCATCCACAGTTAACTTTTCTGTTTGTGTCAATTTGAAATTGTAAATCCCAAATTATGAGTTTCGCAAACGTGTTGATGTCTCTATTGGGATTTGTAAATTGGGATAGAGTAAGTTTTTAGCCCGCAACACCTTCAGGATCACCCTTCACTGTTCTTAGTATATCATCAAGGTATTCGAGAAACTTTAGCTCGCTGAACTGGCTTAATTTTCTTCCTTAGCACGATGCAATTTTGCCAGTACCAGACAGTTCCAACGATGTTTACGTTATCATCACCTGGTATATCGCCAATTTTCACATGATAACAGTTCAAAAATTTTTCACATTGTACACCTTATGACCTGTGAGTCTAGGACAACAAGCCGAAAAGACTTCAGCTCAAAATTCAAACCTTACAACCACCTCAAATCAGTTTTTTCATCTGTAAAACGTTGTTTTTCGAAAATTTAGGCAAATTAAGCCCATAATAAGCGTTATTTATGACAATGAATCACTTCAGATTGGCACCCATTAATAATATCAGCCGGTTTTAAAACTGCAAAAATTATAAACAAGAAAACTATTTTCAAACCGTGTTTTATTTTTCAACTTTCCTGAACATCATTTGGAGGCTTCAATTTAATGAAAGCGCAAATAACTACTGACGAAGAAGAAGAAGAAGAAGAAGAAGAAGAAGACAGAACTAATTAAGGTAAAAAACGTTAATTCAAGATCGACAGTTTTAACAGGTGCACTTCAAGAACCATGAACAAGAGTTCAATTGATCAAAAGTTGACACATTTCTCTCTAAGAGAAGTTCCTTGACTCTTCTCTTGAAAGATTCGAAGGGAGCAAAGATGTCTACACTAAGACAGATCAAGTCGTTGACGGATTTCTCAACTCGATGAAAGACGAACGTCTCGGTCTGTCACTTCATTGCTGTTTGAATTGTGGAGAGGATGGTGAACTTCCGACTGGTGGTCACCTTACAAAAGAAATAGGCAGAAAACGGCAGCTCTGTGAGACCATGTAACTTTTTTTAGAACAGTAACACATCGTTGAAAATAATATGGGAATAGATAAGCAAAGTTTTCGTTAGAAATAACTGGTCTTTATAGGGCATTGAACCAATAACCCATATCAGACAATTTTGATTGAAACTTTCAATTTTTTGGATATAACATAATGAAGGAAGCCAAACATTGGATGCATAAAAAATGATACTCTTGATACACATGTTAACAAACATGAGCTTGGTGGATTGTGAGACAGTGAAAGGAAAACTGCGTTTGATAAAACGAAGTGACTTTACATGATAACAGCTTATTATTGATATGTGTCATCCAGTTCAAGTTATCGGAAACAACTAAACCCAGGTCTTTTACTACATTTGAGGCAGTTTTTTCCTGGTTGTTGACCATCAAATGACGAGAAACATTGCCTTTGAAAACAATGAGACTGCACTTATCGTGATTGACTGATGAACCACAGGCTTCCAGAAAACAGAAGCAAAGTATTTGTTGATTTTTTGCTTAGTTTGTAATGAAAATATTTTCTGGCTCAAAAAACTTTCCTGTAAAAATCAAGCTAAACAGACTCAAAGAGTCAATTTCATCGCCCGTTCTTCTAAAACTTGTTTTACCACGTCAACATCATCAGTTTTCCGCAAGCTCCAATCTTAAGCTTATCAAGCACCTTCACGAAGTCTCGCCAGATTGAAGTTGTCTGTGGGTCATATCAATTTTCAGCTTTTGATTCAAAAGATTCTTGATTCAGCGCTAACCATATATTCTTTGGTTTTGCAGTAGTTTTACGCCAGGTGCTCATATTATAGAAGGTTTTTTCAACGAGGCTGCTTGCCGAATCTAAATTTTTCTGCTTATTGTCTGCATGTTTGAAACTTGACTCACAAAAAAGCTCTATTTTCCAAGCTCTTCGTTCGATATTCTTCTCGTATGCAGAAATTCGTTTCCTATAAAAGCAATTAGCCAAGACAATGCCTTTTGAGGTTTCAAATCATCAAAGGAAAATTTACCGTTCATTTCAATTCAGGCTAAAAAAAAACAAGAAAAGTCATAAGGGTTTATCATCGGGCTTTTTCATAAATTCATTTTTTGCAATTTTTTTTGCCCAATCGGTTTTAAAAATGGAATTGGTTTTAGAATTGGTGGACACTAATGACACAAAATAAAAGAATCAACCGTCGGCCAGATATTCTGATAGTTAGATTAGTTACAATTGATAATAGAAAGTGGCTTTCTACTTGCGAAAGCAAGTGTCTTGTAATTGGGAACCAGATTTTATCCCGTAAACAATTTTCTTACAAATTTTCAATTTGTTTTAGTATTGAATTTTAACAACTTCCAGATTCCTTTGCACTTGGCTTAGCGGTAATGCCGTCGTGTTTGCACCTTAATAGCGCCCGGATCTTGTTTGTTTTCAATACCCAGGCAATTGAAAAAAATATATTTCCGATTAAAATTGATTTACTGGTTTTTGTTTATCTGCTCGTTTTGTATCAAAAAAGTATCAAGGAAAATTTTCTTTTTACTTTGCCTCACTGTCTCAAGTCTTCGAAATTGTCTGTGGGGAGGACCCATTTGTTGATTTTTTTTGGTTCTCTCAGATACTTTGCTTCCAAGTCTGAGAATTTAATTTAAATGGATAGAACGGATTTGAGAAGTCCCCTGCATAAGCGGCTACGCTCAAATTGTTTATTACATAAACTTATGGAACCCGGATTATTTATTTTTTGTTTTTTTTTTTATAATTCTTTTTATTATTTTCTCAAAAATTAACCTCCCAAGTCTGATATTATGGGTTCAATGAAAAAACTGGTACTGAGAAGCTCTCGTGCATCAGCGGCTACTCAAAATATTTTCATATAAAAACTTATTGCCCTCGAGATGTCCAAATTTTTGATTTTTTGACCGTTTTTTTTTTTAAATTTTTGAGTTTTTTTGAAAATTAATTTTCCATATCTGAGATTTTAAGTTCAATCCAAAACAAGAGTTGCAAAAAGTTTCTTCGCATAAGAGGCTACGCCCAATTTCTTTGACATAAAAAATTAAGACCCTCGGGAAAATCAAAAAAGTTGGTGTTTTGACGGAGTTTTGAAATTTTTTGACTTTTATCGAGAACTACTCTTCCAAATCTGTTTTTTGGATTCAATCAAAATTTTAGGTTGCGTGAATCTCTTCTGCATAAGCAGCTAGACCCAAAAGTCTCAAGAATCTATAGTTCTGTTAAATGTTAAATTTTTGATTTGTTGATCGTTTTTTTTACTTTTCTTAATAACTA